GGAAGGGGAGGGAGTGTATGTGATTGGGTATGAGTGTGGAATGTTATGAAAAACCCAGCCCAGGGCAAAAGTAATTGCCAAAAGTATGAAAACATCCCACTCTCATCAGTATAGAAGATTGTGGACATTGAAGGATTATCAAAAACTCACCCTGGGCTGGGTTGTCCGAAGCACGGTTAATTAGTCTTAATCCAGGTTTATCCATAGTTTTTCTAAGAGTTAACCCAGGATTAGYGCTTATCTGGCTTTGAACAAASCGACCCTGKGGATGGACTCAGTAGTTAACTTATAGCCCTTTCYTTCTCTCAGGCTAACATTGAGATCAGTGCATAACTCTCTGAAAATAAAATATCTCAAAATATTCGGGTGAGAAGGCCCCCTCCCTCCCCTCCCTCCCCTCCCTTTTTACACTAGGTCCGGCATGATAGACTATAAAGTTAGTAACAGAGAACTTTCCTATGTAAGGCCTTATTTCCATGATTATAATATATTTATTTGACAGTAATAATGTTATTTCATAGCTATCAACATTTTTTAACTACATGTATTTATGTTGTCTAAATTACTTTGAATGTATAGTTACTGTGCCATGTCTGTAGCAAAATAYCTTCTTGTTATAAATTATGTTTTTGTTTTTCCATTAGAATCAGAAAAAGGACATGAAACAGAATCAATAATTAGTATTCATTAAAAAAAGTAACAGCTAGGTCACTGAAAGATTTAACTAACAGTTAAAAGATAGTTTAAAATTAATTTCCTTGAAAAATCATCACAAAAATATTATTAAAATGGTCCTTTAGGTTGTTTTTTTATTTTTTGTTTTCATCTCATTTCAGTGATATTTTGGTTTAATTCCTGTGACTCTTGAAAGTCAATAGATTGAGCAGGTACCAGTGGTCTACGAACTACAGGTGCTAGATTTCACTCAGTGTTTCTGATCATTTTGTCCTCACATTTTTATAATTAAATTGATTAAAATAAGTGTTATGAAATTTAAAGAAACAGTTACTTAGTCTAATTTGGTACTGCACTTCAAGGAAAAGACAGTATATAAACTTTGGTATWGCACTTCAAGGACAAGACTGTAAATATATAAACTAATAAGAATAACATTTCATGACATCACAGCTTTATTTAGAATATGAAAATCAACAATCTAAATTTATAAAATCAAAGATGACATTAAACAGAAGTTGGAAATTTCACTAAAAATAGCATAACAATTACTCAGGATTTTCAAGATTGCCTTTCAATCTAGCTAGTATGCTTGTCTTGTTAAAGAAAAGTGGCTCTTTTTGGTAAAATGTCTTTGAAAACA